TGGCATGAAGAACTAAAGGTGTAAATAACATCCAAATGGTATAACTGACAATGTGAAATGGGAAGAAAAGGGCTAAAGGTGTGGGGGACATGGGAAGGGTAGGGGAAAGGAAATAAGGGAAAAGAAAAAATATGAGAAAATGAAAATATTGAAGTAAAGTTTTTGTAAATAGGGAGGATTTGGGGGTAAAGGGAGGGCAGGGACAAGGGGAAAAAAATGAGAACCAAGACCTGTCATGTAAAGGCACAAGATCCCAATACTGAATGTAACTGTACTGTCTACCTAAAATGTACCAATAAATTCAATGGGAAAAAATTTTTTTTAAATGTATGCTGACTACATATTGAAAATATATTGGGTTAAAATATATATATTCTTAAATAAATTTTTTTTTCCTTTTGCAGGGCTGGGGATAAACCCAGGCCTTCACACATGCTATACAAGTGCTCTACTACTGAACTACACCCTAGCCATCCCTTACTTTTTAAACGTGGCTCTAAAAACCCTGAAATGTCACATGACTTGTATTCTACTTCCCTTGGGGTACCAAGTGAAGGCCGTGAACGAAAAGGGCCCCTGCAGGGTGTCCCTGCCAGGACACTACGTCTTAGGGGGCCCCTCAGAAGACCCTGTGCCTGGACAGCCCCTCTTCCCCTGACACCTGGCAGTGCGCCAAACCACCTAAGTTCTACGTGACCACCCTCGTGGACTGGTGAAACCCTAACAACCCAGAGACAGGGAAATGCTCAGGCACAGAACAGAAGGGGAAGAAGCAGATACAAAATTATAGAAATGTTATCCGAAAACACACTAATCTGAGTGACTGATGAGATTAAAGGCAACTGTAAGTCTCTATTTACTATATGCTAAGATCTCCACGTTTTCCACACTGAACCTGCATCACTTTTAGACTTATAAAAGTAGCAGTGGAGGTCATTTCCCTTGCATCTTATCCTGGCCTGAGACTCCCTTTTCCCTTTCCCACCCTCCTGTGAGGGTCTCGCTGCCCTGTGAGGCAGACTCAAGATGGCAGCAATGCCCTGGGCAGCCAAGTGGCCCGCTGGTTCCAACCTGGTGATCCAAGGTCCTTCTTGCTGAGGAGGCCCCAGGCTCTCAAGATGGCCCTCGAGGCCGAGCTCAGGCAGGCTCACAGCCACTTTCCACCCTTTTCCACCAAGCACTCCCTGTGCCCAGGCACTGGGCCCTGTGGCCCACTCCAAACCAGGGAAGTCACACCTCTGAGCCAGTGGATAAGCAGAAGCAGCGTAGGGAGGCACCTAGGGTCACAAAACTCATCGGCCATGAGTGGATTTGAAGCTAAGCCTGCTGTTGACTCTGAGGTACTGCTTCTTGACCACTCTGTCCCCTCAAGGTCCCCTACAGCTCAAAGCCCCATCAGTAGCACTTCAAGGCCAAATACACCTTACCACAGTGTAAGAAGCTCACCTGCCCATATCTAAAGCACAGTCATAACTCACACCCTCAGCATCACAGCCACACACCAGCCAAATGCCGGCCTCTGTGCCCCCTGCAAATCCTCAGGCCTGGGTGGTCTCCACTCTCAGAGGACGGGATAAAAGAAATGGGGAGACTTCCCTCTGCCCTTGGTCACTCAGTCTTTCCACAAACGATAGCTGAGCCACCTACAAGTCATGCTAGGGATATACAGGGAGGAGTAAGGAACTCGTGGGCCTAGCCTCAGAAGCTCACAACTGGTCAGCCTAGTAAGCCATGTACAACCCCAGTATCACAGGCAGCTAAGCAGTGACCCAGGAATGGGACGTGCTGGGGGCAGGGACAAAGGGGAAGATGCCACTTCTGAGCCAAGGACAGCAGGGATGGCTCGCAAGGTTACTGAAGCCACAGCAAAAGCTTCAGCAGACAGATGCGGGAGAAGAGGGATCCGGAGCCTGGCACCTTGAGGACAAAGGCCCCAAACAGGAAGTGCCCGCTTGGTTTGCAAGGAGGGAGAGGAGGAGTTAGTGTGTGGGCTCCAGCCCGTCCTCACCCTGAGGAAGATGGCAGGGCTGCATGTTACAGTGCTCCACGTCTCTGGGCTTCGACTGCTGCATGTTCCTACAGTGGCTGGGTGGCCCGATGGCACAGATGACCTGTCGCTTCCGAATGCCGGAGCTGCAGCTCTTGGAGCACTGGGGTCAGTGGGTGGGGGTGGGAGAGAGCAATCTGAGGCCGGGGCACCCGAAGGAAGAGGGAAGAGGGAGGTGGCCTGTGACACATGTCACATCACTGACAGTTGTGTGTAGCCACCTGCCCAAGGTGCCAGTCCGGGCAGAAGGTACAGAGGGAGTGGGGACAAGCACTCACTAAACCCCAGGCACTGACACGCCAGGCCTGGTCACTGAGAAGGGGACAGGCTGCTTGCACACAGGTCTCCATGATGGGTGGTCGGTCCTCCAAGGAACATGCCGAGGCAGGGAACAGGGACCCTTGGTCACCCCGGCAAGTCACACTCCGCCTCCGGATGCCAGCACCGCAGGTGACAGAACACTGTAAGAGCCAGCTGTCAGCAGGATCTCATCCCAGCTCAGAAGAGCCACGCAGAGAGAACAGCTGGGGGCACGAAGGGCGGACTGCACCCTACTGCTGTGTCCCGCTCCCAGCCCCAGAGAGGCTGTGTCACTCCCGAGGTCACCTGACCTGGTCACGGTGGCAGACACTAGATGGAGGGTATCATGCCTTCAGTCATGACTGAGCAAGTGTAAACGCTGGAAGCAATAACCAACAGCCCCAGCCCCTGCGTCACCACCAAACACCCTGCCCTGCAGCTTCTTCAAGCCAAGGCAAGGTCTTGGGACATTAGACAAGGGCAAAAGCTCTGGATCAGGGGTCCAGGACCTAACTTGCCTTGGCTACAGCTTCTAAGATAACCAGCTAGGTCCCTTCACCTCCCCAAACCTCAGTTTCCACACAGAGGACATACTCTCAGCCTGGCACTGTTGCCTCTAGGGCCCAAGATCCAGCTCCTTGCTTCCACCCTAGCCCTAGATAGGGCCTCAAGGGCCTCACCTCTCCCCAGGGCCCGGCGCTCCAGGCTGCACAGCGCTGCAGGTTGCAAGCCTGTGTGGAAGGGGGCTTCCCAGGCAGGCCGGCACACTCAGCCTCCTCGGCAGCCTCCTGGCCTCCAGCGCCGTCAGACGAGACACAGTAGACAGAGCGGGACTGGACGCCGCCCCCACAGGAGGCAGAGCAGGGAGCCCACGGCCCTATCTTCCAGCTGGTGAGGAATGGAATGCAGGTCAGGCCAGCCTGGAGCAGCAGCCCACCCCCCGAACATCTGGGCTGTGCAGTGAGAGCCAAAGAGCTCTGCTCAGAGCATGGCACCTCCTCCACATCCTCCCAACTGCTGCACGGCCACCTGAGGGGCCGGGTCCTTAGAATTCAGAGCCAGCTCTTGCGCCTCAGCTTTCCTATCCTCACCCCAAGTCCCCTTTTTCCCTCTCACTGGGTTCCTTTTCACCAAGCCAGACCCCATTCCCACTGGCTCCAACCTGGACAGGGACATCTCCAGAGGGGTATGCAGCCCTGTGCACGGAATGGCCCCGCCTGGCACCAGGTACAAAGACCGGAAGGGCAGCCCCACCACACCATGCACAGCCATGCCCGCCACCATCCACAAGGCTGCTGCTGCCGAGGCCAGGCGAGCAGATTACCTGTTCCCACACACATGCTGGGCCCCAGCATGGCGCCACGCTCCAGGCTGGTACAGGTAAGGGGTCCTTTGTGCACGAACAAAGGCATTGCCGATGCCAACACGCCCTTGGCCAGATCCCTGGCTCACCCACTGGCCTGTGCCGAGCCAAGCCCCCTGCTGGCTCAGACCAGGACTCCCAGTACTGTTCCCGGCCCTCCCTCCAGCTAACTGGACGTTCCGAGTGCCGCAGGGACACTCGAGGGCGGAGAGGGTAGCCCTAGGCCTCGTGCTTCAGGCCCTTTGCTGCCTCCCTCAGTGACAGCTGCCACCCACCCACCCTAGCCATAGCTGTTGGGGAGCCTGGTACCCCAAGCTCCTCACTATACTCCTCCTAAAGCGGCTTCAAGACCCCCTCCCCCCTCCCACCAACCCTGCCC